TTTAGAGGTTGTGCTGGAAGATGCATGAAGAAGCTCAACAGGCACCAGCAGATGAGAACCATAAAGGGTTGATCCAGTGCAGCAGAACCGGGTCAGAACGTAGAGGTGCTGCATCAACGGTCTGAGCAGCACCAGTTTAAACGTCACAGCGTTCAGGCTTCAGCTGCTCATGAGGAAACATCTCAGAACGTTAGCGTGACTGAATGGTTCTTCATTCATCTGTCTGAGCTCAAACATCTGCACAGATGTTGGTCTGAAGGCTCAAATGTTCACCACGTTCATAAACGTCTCCTGTTTCTGTTTCATCACGACTGATTTAGTTCTGAACGCTAAACGTGACGGCAGGTTTAGATCCAGTCGGAGGATCATCGTGGTGTCGCTGCTGGTTTCTGGCTGCATGCAGATGTTTGCAGATGATCCAGATGTCTGCAGAGCGTCTGGCGTTCAGTCAGCAGCGCTGCATTCTCAGCGTGTTGAGCCGTTCAGTGCAGCCAGAAACATGCAGCAGCTGACGGTGACGGAGACGATCAGCTGTCTGAGGTTTGTTCTGCTTCACGAGGACGTGAGGAACTCAGGACGAGTCCAACAGCTGCAGGATCAATAAAACTGGAAAATATCTGCGATTTTCAAGGTTTTGCAGAAAAGAATAAAATGAAAGGATCAAAAATAAACGTGAAGAATTCATCAGACGAAGAACAAAAACATCGAGTTCATCATAAAAGTGAAAATCTGTCAACAAGCTGCAGAAAAACAGCGTTTAGACCAGAAGAGCAGAAAACAAGGAGATGAACTTCATTCATGTTTATGAGAGACGGGATGCTGAGGAGACAGTTAACGAGTTCATTTAAATGTTTTTATTTCTGATTTATGAGATTAAAGCAACAAAATCTGTAAAATAAGAATGAAAATGTTTTTGCTGTTGTTCACATATACATATATATATATATATACATATATATATATGTATATGTATATGTATATATAAATCACCAAATCATAGCAAACATCCGTACAATCAGGATTTTATTTAAATTCAGCAAAAAAAACAACAATATATTTAAAAAAGCTTTTATTTTATATTATTTTATCAGATATGAGCCATACGACGACAGTTTTCATCGTCTGGTTCCGTCTGTACGACTCATCCATCCATCATCCATCCATCCATCATCCATCCATCATCCATCCATCATCCATCCATCATCCATCCATCCATCATCCATCCATCATCCATCCATCATCCATCCATCGATCCGTTCTCTGGTTCCGTCCTGAGCAGCGACTCTTCTCGACACCGAGCCGCTGCAGAAACAGAACTTGTCGTCTGCAGTTGATTAACGGATTTAAATCTTGGTGCTGCTTCCAGACGCTCGTTAATCTGCTCGTTAGTCTGTTAGTTCATCAGACGTCGTTAAGCTGTGAACACGTCCGTCAGAGCCGCTCACAGCTAAAAACAAAAAAAAACGAAAGCTGTAAAACAAACACGATCAGAACCGAGTCGGAACCAGACGAGTGAAACCAAGAAGCGGTTTCGTTTCAGAGGAACCGAGCAGACGTTGATGTGACGTCAGGAGCAACATCTCATCCTCTGGTCTCTGATTCACTCCAGTCTTCTGAGCGACGTCTGGAACCAGAACCTCCTCCAGGAGCAGTAAAGTTCTGTCTGTTAAAGCCGGTTCTGGAGCAGCTGATCACCGAGTTGACCAGACGAGTGTCTCCGAGTCGGACCTCCCCTGGTCTCCGGTTCCAGCCTGAACTCTGACCTCCGGCTGCGGCGCCGTCCACCATCTCCTCCCGTCAGCCTGCTGCAGAACCAGAACAGCTTCTGGGTCGTCGAACCGCAGAGTCTGCTGACTGAAGCCGAGCCGGGCCGCGGCCCAGCGTTCTGGGATGTCTGCAGGAGACGTTTAGTGTTTCACGTTTTAATGATCAGCTCGATGCTGTTCAGGAAACACGTGGAGCAGAACTCGGAGGCCGTAAAACAAAGAGCGGAGCCGGGTTCTGGTGGGGGGGTTCTGGTGGGGGGGTTCTGGCCGCCGCTCGCATTCCTGACCGCTGACTGCTGCCACACATGGAAACCATTACGGGAGCAGAGGCGGAGAATCAGCAGAAACCTGAATGGAGTCTGGCTTAGTGGGTCGGAGGAAGAAATCGGGTCAATCGGAACCTCCAGAGAACGTTACGGGAACCGTAGACGCACAACAATCCACCAGAGAACCGTCTGCGGTACCAGCAGGTCCGGTTTCATCTAACAGCTGGTTGACTTTTAGGGAAAACGTGTTTGATCTCATCTGTAGAGGCCTTCAGCAGGTACCGGACCTGAAGAACCCGAAAGGTTCTGCTGACAGAGTTCATCCTTTAAGGTTCTCGCTTCTCAGATTTGCGGCTCAACGTGTTGGACTGATGTGTTTCATCAGAACAACTTAAAATCACAACGTTTAGATTATTGGAGAGAAAATTAGGAAACAAACGAGTGTTCAGGTCTGAGAGGCTCCAGCTGGATCAGAACCTCATAGGTTCTGATCCAGTTGGTTTTAAAAGAATTCAGACTTCCTGTGTTCTGTTGCTGATGTTCCTCCTCGTGTGTCTCCAGGACGGACGGCTTCATTAGAAGGTTAAAGAGTCGAATTCTGTCGTTTATTTATGAGGAACATGAACCTGTTCTGGTAAAGTCTGACTGATGGATCAGTACCGGGTCAGAACAGGATAGAATACAGAACCCAGCGGTAGACTCTGGCAGAACCCGGGCAGCGGCGCTCTGCTTCTAGTGAAGTCGGCCGGAGCTCGGCCGGTTTCCTCTCAGCGTCTATTTTGAGCAGCTGTCGGTGGAAGAACCTCCGAGTTCAGCTGTTCTGCATCAATCATCGGACCGGGCTCAGGAACAACAGCAGCCGCATTATCTGCACTCGGGCCGCCCGGTTCTAGCAGCACAGAACCGCCACGGTCACGGCAGCTTCTTTAAGTTAGAGCCTCGAAGAAAATCAAACCAGAACCAGGAAAAACAAACTCAAGTCTTCTTAGAACCCGGTTCTGTTTCAGACACAGAACTGTTCAGACACACGTTCCCAGTACGAACCCAGCCACAGAACCCAGCAACAGAACCAAGCAGGTAAAACCCATTATATACCAGAACCTAGTGTTCCCCTGGCATGCAGAACCAGCACATAGGAACCACAACACACCGGCCTGGTCGACAGAACCCAGTATAAACCCAACACGGTACAGAGAACCCGGTGTGTAGAACCCAGCACACTGTAGCCAGTCAGTACCAGAACCCAGTGCTTGGCCCGTCTGTAGAACAGTACACCCCTACATGGCTGGGAGGTAGAACCCAGTAGGAACCCACATGTGAAACTCAGTATGTAGAACCAGAACCAAGAAACCAGAAACAGAACCAAGAAGAAACTCGTGGAAACCCAATAAAAACCCAGTACAGCTCCAGTTAGAACCCAGTTAGAACCCAGAGTACCTCCTGTGTGTCTGACTGGTTCCCAGTACAGACGAAGGTTCTGTTCTGACACCAGGATGTAAAAAGAAAACGGTGGTTCTGTCCCGGTGTGTGAAACGTTCTGCTGCATCTGGTCTGGTTCTGCATCATGTTCTGGATGTTCTGACCCACAATCCTCTGCGGCAGAAGAACATCAGCGAGCTGCAAACAGATGATTCCACATCACAGAACCAGAACCAGAAGCAGAACCAGACGATCAGCTTAAGGTGAAATGTTCTGGTAAAGTCGGAGCCGCCTGGTTCTGCAGGTACCAGCAGCTCAGAGCAGGTACCTGATGGGTTCTGAGGAAATGGATCAGAACCTGTTATTGATGAATCAGCGGTGACATCACTCCCGGTCCATGTGCTGAGTCATCGGTACCGACCCGGTGATGTCATCACGCTGGACACGGAACCGAAAACACCAAGAACCTGAGGAACAGTCAGACCTGCAGCGACCCGGTCCACCTCTCAGGGAACCCAGAACTTCTTCAGACCTCTTTAAGGAACCCTGGAACCAGAACCCTGAAGACCAGTCCAGTCCAGGATCTCTGGAAAACATCTGAACATCCTTCAAACCTCCTTGAAGACCTTTAAATCCTCCAAGAACCTCTTCAAAACATTCAGATGAAACCGACCCAGTGACAGGAACCATGTCTCCCACAAGAACCTGAAACCTGAAGACCTCCAGAACCTCCAGAACCTCCCTAACAGCCTCCTAACAGACCTCTGATAACGTCTTGAAGAACCTCTGGGACGTCTCCAAGCAGCACCAGAACCTCCTCGGGGACGCCTGGAACCCGTTCATAAGCGCTCCTGGAAACGACTCAGGAGCCGAACAAACGGATCCAGAACCTTCTCGTCTGTGACTCCATCAACCTGCAGCAGAACCCAAACCCACTGACTTTGAATAACTTTATTGAGTCCAACGCAGCAGACGGACGCTGATCCTGATCCTGATCCTGATCCTGATCCTGATCCTGTTTCTGGACCTTCACGGAGCTGCAGCAGAACTTTTTCTCTTTAAATTCAGTTAAAATGTTTCTTCCTTCAAACGACAGAAAAACCAAACGAGTCAAACTGACGTCACCAAAACGACGGTACCGAACCCGACTCAGCCGCAGCTTCTCCAGAAACGGATTCTCTGAAACTCTGAACTCAGTTTTTGCTCCTGAACCGGTCGCTGCTGGAACATCAGAATCATGGTTCTGTTCTAACCCAAACCCACTCATGTCTCTGTTCCATTAGAACCTTCAGCCTTTGATTTGTTTGGTGATTCAAACCAACAGACGCTCAGCTCAACCCCCCACCGACCAATCAGCTGCTCACACCTGTGACCACACCTGTCAGCGCCACCGTCAGCTGTCACTCACTCAGCACGTGCTGCTGCTGTGGAAGCATCTCCAGAGAACAGACTCGCGGTTAAACATCATCTCCTGACCTCAGATCACGCTCTGCTCTGTGCGTAAAACTGTGCGTAAAACTGTGCGTAAAAGCCGCTCCGCGCCACTCACCGATGGAGACCAGCTTGATGTGTTCTCTGTCCAGGAACTCCAGCGCCACCGACACGTTCTCCAGCTTCATCTGCCTGAAGTTGGGCCTGGCGTGGTACTTTCTGTACATCTTCTTCTGGCTCAGAACCTCCAGCAGCCCGATGAGCTTCAGTCCGTCGCTCAGGTCCTTCTGCAGGTCGCTGATGCGCTTGTTGACCACCTTCAGGTGCTCGTTGCACCACCTGGTGAACGTGTTCTGCTGGATCTTCTTCCAGGGCGCGTCCTCGGCCAGGTCCTTCTCGGTGGCCGGCATCTCCTCCTCCTCCTCGCCGGTGTCCGGAGCCTGGTAGAACTGCGGCGGCTCCAAGTAGCCGCTGCTGCTCATCATGGTGCCGCTTTTATAGCGGAGCGCAGCCGAGTGGGAAGAAAAGTGCAGAAAAAAGAGAAGCGGCGCAGCGGAGCTTCAGCGTCAGGAGCCAAACATGCGCAGATCCGCAGTCACAAGAGCCGCTGCGCCGAGACGCTCATGGACTCGGACAGAAGCAGGAAAAGAGCAGAAAGTAAAGTTTGGGTTCCTCCGGACTGCGGCGGGTTCTGGCCGGGTTCGGTCCGGGTCGAGCGGCCTGCAGACTGACGGACTGCGGCTGCAGCGGCTCAGCGGCGGGTTAAGAAGCTGCGCGTCACTCCGCTGGACTCTGAGGAATGCTGCCGCTGTGACCATATAAACCTTCATCCTTCCATCACGGCAGATACGGAAGAGGCCGCTGATTGGTCGGAAGTAGGGGAGGGGGCGTGGCCACCGGGACCCCCCTCCGGTGACACCTCCGGTATTTTTAGAGGCTCCAAACCGGGAGACACCGGAGGGGGGAGGAGGGGGAGGGGGGGTCTGATCCTAAAAAGCTCCTCGTAAACTGGACCGTGTCGTCATCAGCGGGCAGCCAATCAGATCACTGCGTCACATATAAACAATAAAACAGGAATAAACAAAACATTTTTATTTAACTTTCATCATTTAAACCGTAAATCAGTTTGAATCCGTTTCTACTGAAGTTAAAGGATCTTTAACTAAAAACGATTTAACTTTAAACATAAAAACTGAAGGAAAACAAAGTTCAGATCCAAACGCCAACTGCCAAATATATATATATGTGTGTGTGTGTGTGTGTGTGTGTGTGTGCATATAGATAGATAGTAAAATGTGTCATAAAAACTAAACCAAAAATATTTTTAAAATTGCATAAAAAGTTGAGCGCAAAACTGAAAAAATCTTGTCACATAAAACATCCATCATCTCTACACCTTCATCCTCACCAGGGTCATGGGGGGCGGAGCCTATCCCAGCCGCCTTAAGGCCAAGGCAGGTTCACCTGGACAGGTAACCAGTCTTAATATAAAAAATGATAAAACGGTAAAACTGTAAAAAATAAAAAAAATAATGTCCAAAACATAGTGTGTAAAAATGTAAAATATAATTCCTGTAAAAAATGAACTAAATCTGTTCAAAACTTTAAACAACATGTGATGTAAAAAATAAAGCGCAGAAAAAAACAAAAACAAACCAATCTGTAACATAAGAACTCTCCAGTGAGCAAAGAGGACAAAGTCAGAACTCTGATCTCAGGTTTGTCTTCAGGAGTCTCTTGATGAAGAACATTAAGTCTCATCGGATCAGTCAGAACCTTATGGATCCCTACCTGACCCATCAGCTGATTCTGCTTCTCCAGACACAACAAAACATGGCCGACATCATCAGAACCGGACCAACCAGAACCCCTCCTGAAGACCTCTGCATCTCCTTCACCGTCTGGTCCGTTTGTTCTGCTCCTCAGGTGGAGTCCAGATGTTTGGTCAGAACCCGACCAGGACCAGCGGGGCACGGAGGGGGCAGCATCATGACGCGGGGCTGCATGAGGGCAGGAGGTGACCGTCTGAGGTTTGTAGCAGCTGCTGCCGCTCACAGCGCCCCCTGCTGGCCACTCTGTGAAGCTCAGCTGGTCGTCCTCAAACGTCTGAGCTGCATTTTGTTTTCTGGGACATTTTAAAGTTTCTGGGAAGTTAAATGTAAACGAGGCTCAGTGAGTTCAGCTGAGACCAGAACCAGAGTCCTGTCTGTGCAGCGGCGCCCCCTGCTGGCAGCAGGCTGCTTCCAAAGTAAAGATCTCAGAATCATCAAGTTATGAATGAAACCAGGAGTCAGTCAGAGCTGCTGCTGGTTCGTGTTTAATCAGTGTTTGGTTCTGTTAAAGCAGAACCAGGAAACGTTCAACACAAACTTTTATTTTAGTGGATTCACTGGAAAACAACAAAAACAAACTCAAACAAAGTGTGTTTAAAGTCCAGATACAGAACCAGAGTCTCCAGATTTACGGTCAAACTAAATGTTCTGCAGGTTCGACTTGAAGAAGCTGATTTGATGAAAAACAACAGAAATCAATTAAACTGAAGGTTGAAGGTTCAGAGATGCTGAGAAAGTTCTTCAGAAACGACTGTTTGAACAAAACATCAGATTTAAAAAACTGTTCATGAGTCACGTCGTCTAAAAGAAATAAAGAAAGTGAGAAGAAGAAGAAGTGACGAAGGAAAGACTGAGGACCATAAAAATAAACTTATTTAAAGAATCTGATAAAGTAAATCATCGATATGTAAAATAAATGATTTAAAATATACAAACACAGAAATAAACGATGAAATCTGGACAATTGTTCGTTAATATCGTGTTATTTGTCTTGATGTTTATTTTTTGTGACACTTCTGAGAATCAGAGAAATCCCAGTTCAATAAAAAACAGTTTGATTCTGAACCAGACCAACAAACAGTGGTTCTGGTTCTGATCATCTGCTGCCTCTTGGCTTCAGAACCATCACTTTGTTGTTATCTGACATTTTAGGATTTAACTGAAGATCATCTTGTTCTGGTTTTAACGGCCGGTTTGAGGTTTTTAAAGCGTTGAAACAACGTTCTGAATTAAACCAGTGAACACCTTAAACCAGCGTCTGATGTGAGGAAGGTATTCGTGGTCCGGTGAGGTCATGTGGGAGAACAGAACCATGACAGCAGCGTGTAAACGTGGACCGGCCCGTTTATTTACGGCTCTTACTATAAAAACAGAACTCTGAAAATATCGCCGGCGTCTCACGTTTCTGTCATCGTGAAAGTAACTCCAGAGACAAACTAAATTTAACGGTGCTGATGCTCTGAGAGGCTCCAAGTCATCGAAAAGAACCACCTCCAGAACCACCTCCAGAACCACTCCATCAGACGAGTGACCGCTGGTGTCGGTACGGAGGCCTAGAAGAGCCAAAACACCGGGTTCAGAAGGAGCTAAAGTGTTCTGTGCAGAACTTCAGAACAATATTAAACTTATGAAAATAACACAACAGATTATTTTATCAACGACAATAAAGACTCAGGTTCTGGTCTTGTTGGTACCAGATGCAGAACTCCAGTGTTGTCCACGTACAGGAACAATCACGTCTCATTTCTTACACGTGCATGAAGTCATTTCCATGTTTTAGGTGTTTATGGACACAATATTTCTTTCATAAGCACATGAATGCTTCTTTTCTCTGTTTTTTGTTTTACACGTGTAAAGATTCACGTTTTTGTTTTTTACATGAACACAAACAGGAAACGTCCATTTTTACATCCATGAACTCAAACAGCTGTGACATCAGCACCGTCCACCTGACGCGAGTTTTATGTGACAGCAAGTTTCTTCTGAGGAGATTTCACACGTTAAAACGTTATATTAATGTAATTTCACATTTTGTTCCTTCATAAAGAAATAAACTGAAAAAACAAAACTAGAACTTTAACAAATGTTTCGTAGAAAAACATGAAAGTGATTATTTTAGCAGGTAAACACATGAAACACTGAATGAAAACACTTCCTCTGTCTCAAGTTGTACATTTCACAATAAGACGCCGACACGTTACAGACATGATAAACGACTTTATTTAATTCATTTACAAAACGTGTTCGTCCATGTAACAGAAAAATACGATTTTAAACGGACAGGAACAGAGAACAGAAACAAAGAAACAAAGAAACAGGAAATCACTTCAAACAGCGGCCTGAAGACGACGCGTCGGTTTACTGCGACTCAGAGTTCAGACAGCATCACCTGACATCACCTGACATCACCTGACAGCGACGAGCACAAAGCTAACAGACACAGTCTCACAGAATAAACGCTAATCTGAGGAATTTAAACAGCCGGACGTTTGTAAAACCTTCTTGTTGCTGTTTTGGTTTCATCTGTGTGTTCGGGACATATCGGACATGTTAGCCTAGCTTAGCACAAAAACTGGCGACAGAGGGAAACTGTTAGCTTAGCTGTCAGCATACAAATATCTAAAGGTAATTGGTTAGCTAATGTCTTCTGTTTGATGTAGCTAAGCTAGCAGTTTCCTCTTCTGTCTGATTGTGTTTGTTAGCTGCCAATAGCTACAAGTGCTGCCAAATATTATGCTAGTGATTGTTATAACAGCAGCTAGCAATGAACAGCTGTTTATATCAGTTAGCTACAAACAGCTACATAGATGTTGAATGTTTTAGCTGTAGCAACACTGCATTAACTAGCATTAAAACATCTCATAAAGTAGTCATGCTAGCCATTTTGTAGTAACATGCTTCTTCATAATTTCCAATCTGTGTGCTAAGCTAGGCTAAAACCCATGCAAAGACATGCCACCAAACACTATGCTTGTAACCATCATAATGGCAACTAGCTACAAACAGCTCACCTAAATACATGTACGCTAACTAATTATAATAGTAAGCTACTAAAAAAAAAAAAGCTAGCACAATGTTGGACAAGCTAACTGTAGCTAACAACAATAACTAGTTATAAAAGCTTAGACAATGATCATGGTGGTGTCGCTGCTAGCTGCTCCAAGAATATATTTGTTTTCTCCAAGGGGCAAATTCAGTCTTTGTGCTAAGCTAGGCTAACCCACACAGATATGTTTACATCAGTTTGCTACAAACAGCTAGCATAATGTTGGATACGCCAGCTGTAGCTGCCAACATTAACTAGCCACACATATGGGTCATTTTATAGCAACCATGGCTAGAGGTTTGTTGCTATCTCCAGTCTTTGTGCTAAGCTAGGCTAACCCTGCACACATGATGAAACTGAAACCAGAACCAGGAAGATTCGGAAACACAAGACTCGAACAGCAGAACAGGTAAGAAACAGTCTACGTTAGCTAATGGAAGAGTTGGATCACAGCGCTCATGCTACCACTGTCATGTTCAGTGAGCGCCGGCTAACGCTAAAGCTAAAGCTAAAGCTAAAGCTGCTACAGTGTCGGAATCTACCGTCATGCAAATTCGCTTTGTCTCTAAATCTAACATGCAACACCGACGGCTAGCTAACGTTTGTCACGACTCCAGTTTGAAGCAGGTTTGTGACGTTTTTCTTTAAATTCGTACGTTTCAGTGACAAAAAGATCAAATCAGGTCGTTTTCTAAGACGTTGGTGAAACTACGATCTACGATGTTCTTTATACATAAACGGTTATAAAACTAGTCCAAGAATATTGTGGAAACAAGTCGTGTTACGTCGAGTTTATACGAGTTAATGTGGCGGCTACGTTAATCTGCTCTTTAGTTTCATTACTAGCTTCGGTTTT